GCGGGGCGGGGGCGCTGCGCATCCCGCACGTGTGTCCGCTTCGCCCGCGCCCGCTCCGCCGCCCTGCCCCCGGGCGGGCGCCGGGCTGGAGGATGCCCCTGCCCGGGGGGCGAGGTAAGTGCCGGGCGGCTGCGGTGCGCGGGGTCTTGGGAGGTGTGTGTGCAGTTGCATGTCATCTGTGTGTGTGTGTTGCATATCATTTAAGTGTGTGTATGTGTGTGCATGTGCAGTTGTGTGGCATTCAAGTGTGCTGCATGGCATTCAAGTGTGTGTGTGTGTGTGTGCGATTTCAAGTCATTTGTGTGCGTGTGCAGTTGCATGTCATTGAAGTGCACGTGTCATTCCTGTGTGTGCACTTGCATGTCATAAGTCTGTGCATGTGCAGTTGCATGTCACTCGTGTGTCATTCAAGTGTGCAGTTGTCATTCAAGTGTGTGTGTGTGTGTGTGCAGTTGCATGTCATTGAAGTGCACGTGTCATTCCTGTGTGTGCACTTGCATGTCATAAGTCTGTGCATGTGCAGTTGCATGTCACTCGTGTGTCATTCAAGTGTGCAGTTGTCATTCAAGTGTGTGTGTGTGCAGTTGCATGTCATTTGTGTGTGCAGTCACATGTCATTCAAGTGTGCATGTGTGTGTGCAGTTGCATGTCATTCAAGTGTGAGTGTGTGTGCAATTTCAAGTCATTTGTGTGCGTGTGCCATTGCATGTTATTGAAGTGCACGTGTCATTTCTGTGTATGCACTTGCATGTCATAAGTCTGCGCGTGTGCAGTTGCATGTCACTCGTGTGTCATTCAAGTGTGCAGTTGTCATTCAAGTGTGTGTGTGTGTGTGTGCAGTTGCATGTCATTTGTGTGTACAGTCGCATGTCATTCAAGTGTGCGTGTGTGTGTATGCAGTTGCAAGTCATTCAAGTGGTGTGTGTGTGTGTGTACGCGCACACAGACACACTTGAATGACATGCAGCTGCACCTGCACCCTCTCTCGCACAAAAGTCACTGTGCGCTGCAAACATGTGTATGCGTATGTGTGGGGAGCGTGTGCTAAACACTGCATCTCGGTAGTAATAGAAATTAGTCTTAAAAATATCGTCCACTGCCAGCCTAGATTGCCCTCTGGCAACCACACACAGGTGCATGTGTGTCTCTGTATGCAGTTGCATGTTATTCACAAGTGTGAGCGTGTGTGTGTGCATGTGTGCATGTGCACACACACTTGCACTCTCTCTCTCTCTCATATAAAAGTTGCTATGCACCTGCAGGGAGAGCATGCCAAACACTGCATCTTAGTAGTACTAAAAAGTAGTAGGGCAGTGGACAGTATTTTTAAGACTAAACTGACCTCTAACAAATGCACGCAGGGTGGAGGGGGGGTTAGGGTGTGCATGCATGCAGACACACCCATATACACTTGAATGACATGCAACTACACACATACACACACACTCTTATATAGGAGTTGCTATGCGTATGTGCAGGGAGAGCGTGCCAAACACTGTATCTTCAGCAGTATTATAAATTGGTCTTAAAAATACTGCCCACTGCCAGCCTAGGTTGCCCTCTGGCCAACCGGGTCACTGTGGTTTCGTAGCCTTGGCATAGCGCAGGGTGAGGTTTCTGTTTGTTTTAAAATAATAGCCTAAGACATTCCCCTGCAGAGACTGTGTGTATGGTAACCTTTCCGAAAGATGTGTGTGCTCAAGTCTCGTGACAAGCCAGTGTTAACGAATGAGATCAGGCTGCAGCTTTTGAAAGCAAAGGAGAGATTTCATTTCTTGTAGATAATGGGTAAGAGAGTGTTTTGCTTTGTGCTGGCTATAGGTGCCACCCCCAGGAGCAGTGGGAGAAAATCTGTGCTGTCCCACATCGCAGTGAGCCAGCAGCATGCTGCTAAGGGTCAACCCCAGTCAGTCCATGGAGCATCAACCTCTCTTTGTGGAGAACACGGAGCACGAGTATCCTGCCCCGAACTCGCTTCCAGATCCATTCATGACTGAGGGACCCTCTGCCTCAGCTGAGCCAGACCCACTGTCCTTCAACCTCACCAACTCCACGGACTGCGGAGAGGAAATCCTGCTCTACGGGGACACGGAGAAGATCGTCATCGGGACGGTGCTCTCCATCATCACCTTGTTGACAATTGCTGGCAACAGCTTGGTCATCATCTCCGTCTGCATCGTCAAGAAGCTCCGCCAACCCTCCAACTACCTGGTGGTGTCCTTGGCAGCTGCCGACCTGTCCGTTGCCTTCGCAGTCATGCCCTTCGTGATCATCACGGACCTGGTGGGAGGGGAGTGGCTGTTCGGGAAGGTGTTTTGCAATGTGTTTATTGCCATGGACGTGATGTGCTGCACGGCTTCCATCATGACCTTGTGCGTCATCAGTGTGGACAGGTAAGGACCACTTTCATCTAGTAACGCTTACGTGACGGATGCTTTGTAAACACTGGAAATCATAAATCCTTTGACTTGGGTGGCTAAGGTTGTCGCTGGAATAGATCATCTTGCCCTCTTCCTTCCGCAGAAGGGGAAACCGAGGCAGAGAAAGGGGCTGAGTGACTTGCTCAAGCGCTGTCGGGGAGGAAGGGACTCAGCTCCTTTTGCTATCTGATAAGCACGTGACTTATTTTAGGCTGCAGAACTGAGTGCATGGCCCAGATCTGATGTCTGCGGAAGTGCCTCTTTATAAATGGAGGTCGCTCTCGGGTTGAGAATGCAAAACTGGCCTCTTCAGGGTTCACAGTTGCAGATGGTGACTGATCCAGTACAATGCAGGGTGTACGTGGTTAAAACGAGAGATGGGAGCATGCTTGAGGCACGTATTTAAGTGTTTTTCTGGACAGAGCCGCAAGGCTCCGATGGCTTCCCGAGCTCTAAGCCCCGTCAAGCCGATTCCTTTCCTCTTGGGTGAGTCAGTTTCCCAGGATCTGTTTCCCCATCTGCAAATTTTGCAGCTAATTATATTGTCTGCGTCACAGGAATATTGCCAGGATGAGGGGTTGGGGCAGATTCAGATCTCGAGAACCCTGCTTATTTCTGGGGGAGGGGAGGGTTCATCTAAATTTAGTGGTGTAGCTGAGCTCTCCGTCCCGTCCCTTGGAAATAAGGCACTTGAAACTACAAAAGAATAAAAAAGCCTGATGTATTTCTCATGGGCCTGTGCAATCAGAGCACTTTTTCCTGTGGAGTTTGAGTCATTCACCTGCATACTGTGGTGAGGCTGGGATACGGAGCTAAGATGCAAGATCGTGGTTTCAGCAAGATGAGCTCTCTGTTCAGTGAGTAACTTTAGGAAAAGGCAATCGGGACTCGTTGTAGAGATGAGATATCTTTTATTAGAGCAACAAGATTTTTGCAAAAAAAAAAAATTCTTTAATTGCAAAAATCTTGTTGGTTTAATAAAAGATACCGTCTCTGCTTTTCCTCTAGACCAATACGGCTACAACCTGGATACCTAACTGTAGGAAAATCGTCTTATCGGTTTCCAAGCTGAGGCCGGCCAGGTGTGGAATTGGGTAAAAAAAAGTGGAAAGTTCACCAAACATCCAAACACTGCATTGAAGCGGGGTGTTTCCCTGGGCAACTCCATAACAACACATGTTCAAACATCCGTGGGCTAACACTAACTTCCAGTCCTACCTGACTAATCGACTCGAGTCTCACTCCTAACTTAACAAACTGGGGTTATTAAAAGCCAATTTTTTGAATGAATAAATTAGAGTCTTTTCCGGGTCTAGATGTATTGTTTGAGATGTGTGTGGGGGGAGGGGGAGGGGGACTTTTGTTTTATGGTGGGAAAACCAATTAATTAAAAGGGAATGTATTAAAACGTGGAAGGCCATATACACGGGAGGAAATCCATATCAGGTAGGAGAAAAATGAAAGTCAATAGTAGAATATATGGCTTTGTTTGGCTTTTCAGGGATGATGGATAAGTGTGATACTAAAGCAGAGAGCTAAAATGAAACGCGCGCACGCATGAAATAAAGCAGAGAGACTTGAATTGGAGACATTTGCTGCTTTTTTTTTCCCCTAAGTTCCTATGCCAAGTAGAAATAGACATCAAGATGCAGAAGTGCAGAGGACAGAGCTCTTACTAAAATTAAATGCAATTGATTCTGTTCATTAATTATGATTGCCTGGGTGAAATTCCCTCTGGCTCAAGCAGGCAAAGATCCAGAGGAAGCAGTGGAGCTGTGTTGAATTTGGCCGGCTGTCTTTCTTCACCAAAATGTGAGCAAACGCAGGATTTCGGGGAAATGTGCATTGCGCTAGCCAGAAAGCGGTCAAACCCAGCTAATTCATCAGGGCCAAATCCTGAAAGGTGCAGAGCACGTTGCCACTGAAGTCAACAGGGGAGGGATTATTCAGGAGGTGGGTTTCTGCCATTACAGACCAGATCCAGAGTTGCCTCTGAATGCATAGCACGGCTCAGATGTGCAGAATAGAGGGGTCAGTTCAGTTCCCTGTGTAAAACAGAGCAGCCTCGAGGCTGCTCTGATTTATGTTGGCTATTCAGTGGCATTGTTGGAGGCAGGCACCAACCCCAGGCACCCATTTTGAGGGCACAAGGATGATGGCCACTGCCAACTTAGCCACAGCCATTGTCACTGCCCTGGCTACAGCTGCCTGCAAGGGCTTGGAAGCTGCTTGTTACTCCTCTGTGGCTATTCTTGTCCCTTAGTGGACTGCTTTGGCAGCTGGGGATTGATGGTGTCTAAAGGAAACCTGGCTACTATCCCTTTCACCCACTGCAGAGGCTAGGGCAGGTGCATTAGCTGCCGGTACTTTCCCTTCCACAGGCATGCAGCCATCATTCCTCCCCATAACCCACGCACGCATTATCAACACATCTCACCTGTCCCTAATCCCTGCAAAACTCCTCATCATCTCAGCGTCCTAGTGAAATGCATCATGCTAACGCACCACCTTGACCGTGCTTTCCTGCATGTCCAAAGAGGAAGCGTGGCTTACTGGTAACAAAAGAGGAGAAGCAAGAGGTAGCAGGAGGCAGAGGGGCCGGGCGGCGTTATGCAATGCCTTGACCTCTTTGTGCATGAGTGAACTCAGCTGGATGAGTGACTAAAGAGCAGTGGCAGTCAGATGGCTGCAGTTGAGCAAAGCTTTCCTGGATCTGTCTCGTTGAATGCTTAAATCAGACCAACTGTACTCTGCGGTGAACCCAGCTGGCCCATTCAGTCACTGTCTGCTCTGGATCCTTCTCCCCAGCCCGTAATTGCTCATTTGGAAATGTGGAGCAGAGTGCAGGCAGATAAATTAGCCGAGACACGATACGAGGGGGGGAAAATCAATACCAGGGGTTTAAATCGGAGCTGGAATGAGCCACTCGTCAGAGAAGCACGTTCCTGTGAATAAGCCCCATGGATTTGCATAATAATAGCGGTGGGTCTAACTATGCGTGTGCCTGAGGTTTGTGATGGAGAGCTTATTTCACTGTGTCCGTTTGATATCGTTTCAATGCAGTTCAGGATTCAGTAGCTGCTGGCGGGGCTATGAATGGCTCCCCATATGGCTTGCAATCTTGATAGCCCTGTGGCTTTCAGCCTAGGGTCATCTGTTCCCTTGGGAAGGGTCACATTGCAGTCGCGGAGCAAGGGCCGTGTTACTTGTCCAGGTTCTTCCCATATGAGCCTGTGCAAATGTTCACGATCTGATCCTGTGTCTTTCTGGGCTCTGCAAGGCTCCTTGGTGGGGCTTGAACTGAGCTGCTTCCAAGCTCCTTGAGCCATTGCATCTTTTGGGTGGTAGGAGGAAGAAAGCGAGTGGTGGCATCTCCCCAGTGCCAATAATCCCCATGTCAAGGGTAGAGGGTGGCACCTGTGCTTTCTTCCTGCGCTCACTGAAGAATAAAGTAGGCAATGATGTCATTGTCTTAATTGTTCTCCGTGGGCATCTGGGGGGGTTCTCTGTACCATGGAAGTAGCACGTCCTGGCACCTGGAGCTCAAGTAGGCCCTGTCCAGCTTAATCCTCCAGCAAATTCACCCGTGAGACTGCTCTGGACTTGTCCCCAGCACCCGCTTTCAGGACCTCGGTCTTTAAACTTGCCTGGGGTGGGGCATTAGGGGGTCTCCGAGGGCTGGAGCCCACCACTGCAGCGGTATAGACAAGGCTGCCCTGCTAACCCATTTCTGAGAAAGGAAAGCGAAGAGCTGGGGACTCCCTCTAATAAATTCTTCTGCACTCCCAAATCTAAATGCTGCATGGACGTGCTCTGTTGGACCAGCTTGCCTTATTCCATCTGGTTGCATTTCTGAAGAGGCCGAAGTTTACATGTACTCTGACAGGCTTCGGGAGGCCTTTCAAGATGGAAAGTGCAATAAAAATGTAGCGTATTATTAAAATCTCTCTCTCTCATTTTTTTTTAAGCCTCTTGAGTACAGCTAGTGAAACATTTTGATCCAAAAAGGGACTTTTTCAGCAAAACAAATTTTTGCTGAAAAATACCTGTTTTCAATGGCTATATGTTGACAAAACCTGCACATGTTTCAATTGAAGGGAAAGAAAAGAGGAGTCTGGTGCCTCTTTGGGCTACTTTGCAGAACATGGTGAAACAAGGTGGATCCTTGGCCAGTCGGTCAGTGATGTCCGTGTTCAAGTACACCTACCGCAGCGTGTCCTAGTGGAGATGAAACACTGGTTTGGAGACCTATGTTGTATTCCTGGCTCTGCTACAGACCGGATGGGTGACTTCAGATGAGTCCCGTTCACCTCTCTGGGCCTCTGCTTCCCCATCTCTGCAGGGGAGATGATTTACTGCAAACTGATTTGAGATTTAGGGATGAAAAGTGCTACATGCAAAGAGCCAAGAATCACTATGACCCTGTTGTTGGCAAGAGCAGGGCTAGAATAGGGCTAATATGGAAAATTTCATGAGGCTGGTGGTAGAGTCACTGGAAAAAGCAAGCATGTGAACGTGGTGGACCATCAGGCTCAGAGAGTAGTAATCAATGGCTTGATGTCTAGTTGGCAGCTGGTATCCAGTGGAGCGCCCCAGGAGTCGGTCCTGGGGACAGTTTTGTTCAGTGTCTTCATCAGCGACCTGGAAGATGGCCAAGTTTGCAGATGACACCAAGTTGCAGAGAGTAGTAGATATACTGGAGGGTCGGGCTAGGATTCGGAGAGACTGCAGCAAATTGGAGGATTGGGCCAAAAGAAATGACACCAAGAAAGGGATCTTGGTGTCATTATTGACTCCAAGATGAACATGGGCCGACAATGCGAGGTCATGGTTGGCAGGGCTAACCGGACCTTGTCGTGCATCCACAGGTGCATCTCGAGTAGAGCCAGGGAGGTGATCCTCCCCCTCTATGCGACGCTGGTCAGGCCGCAGCTGGAGTATTGTGTCCAGTTCTGTGCGCCCCATTTCAGGAG